AAAAAAAAAAGAAAAAGAATGTTAATGACTTCATCTATAACTCTGACCTTCACTTGATCATGAGTAAGAACCAACCAAATTGCGAAAATAATTTGACTTTTTAGATAAAGTACTATGAGCCTAGAAAGAATTGAAATTGTGATAAAGCGTAAATATATTCGTAGAGGGTGGGGCATTATCGCAGGGGGATTTTGAATCTGATATCTGGGCAATGTGAATGGAAAGAAGGGATGACCTATCTAGTCAGAATACAAGCAAGTGTGGGAAATTTTAACGCTTCGAAACTGAGTCACTTCAGTTTTACAACGTTTGTTTACGGCAACTGTTTTAAGAATTCTGACATTTACGTTCTTGTTCATTTTGCAGATGGATCATCCAAAAGGCATTTTACTATCCAAAGACTGTTGGCAGGTGTAGTTGCGGTGGAATCTCCTGGAGTGACCTTTTCCTTTATTTGCCAACCTTTGGTAAACCCAAAATTCAAGCACTGAACCGCAGCGTGGCCCTAACCTTAGATGACCTCGATGACGTAACTCCCACGTACATCGGGTGCGTGACGGTTAACAGATGGCGACGCACCCCTTCCCCGAGAGAAGCTCATTATGAAGTTCTTACCATGTCCCCCCATGGGATCGAACGCCTTGATCGCGCACCTGAAGATGAAGAATTTCACGGCAAGCTGACGCCTATGGATGTATATCTCTCGGATGCTGCTGCAACGTCTGCAGCCGCGCTAGACCATGACGGTGGAAGAATGGTGAACGATGAAGCACACTTCAGAGATTTAAAAGCAATGTTGGGGCTCTCCTTGGGTGCGTCGGTAGTGGCTGATAAAAGACACGAGGAAAAGCGACACTTCTGTGTACAGGTGATGAGAGAGGAAAAATTCCTCCGTTAATTATTTTGGTCAATTATCAGTTTATTCTCGTTTTCGCCTGAGACCGTGTAACGTACGTTTGTACCCTGGAGGAGGGACTCTCACATTATAAGGTCGGGGATGTTCGTTGTCTCGCTTGCGGGTGAATATCAAGGATTCTGGTCTCACTTAGGGTATTCATGACAAAACGCCACTAGTGTTAGCTGTCAAAGTATCTTTTAGGGTACACTCGAAAAAATAATAACAAAAGAAACGCTAGGCTCTTATATTCGTTTTTAGGTTCGATTTCTGCCGTCTCTCGAGTCCGGTCTTCAAGCTCGAGCTCCATTCCTGAACTGCGGCTGGTAATCAAGCCTATTTCATTTTAAGTGGTATCTTTTAGGGATCAAATGAAGCTGTAGCCACACCCAGATTGGTCTCTTTTACGGGCTTAATTCAAATTTTCCGACGAGCATACCCGATTTTTTGATATGGGAATCCGGGCGTTTGTACTGGCGGCGATATCTATTTAAAATATTTAAGACAAAAGAAACAATAAAAAAAGGAGCTATGTCTACTCGAACCCAAATTAATCCTTTAGTTTAATTAAGTAATTCTTTGCCACCAGCCATGTAATCGGGCCGCTGTACCGGCCTCTTATTTTATGACAATAGATAATTGAGGTACTAGCCTAACAGAGTATATGAATATCAAATTTTGGAAAGTTGTTATCCCAAGTAATCAGCCTGTTATCGTAGAAGTTAGGATTCAGTTTTCATTCGATCATCTCATTCTCGTGCTGGTTCAACCAAAGAAAATGTCGGCAACCAAGTGTTGATAAAATGTTACTCAAACGTCACAGTCTAAATGCGTCTTATTTTAGATTCGTTTCGAAAAGAATTCGTTGTTGTTGCTGCTGTCTTTGTTGTTTTTGTTGTTGTTGTCGGTTCTGCTACTGCTGCTGTTGCTTCGTCTGTGATTGTTGTAAATAAACACAGACGCCGATGATCTCTCCTTCTTTTTCTTCTAGATTCTTCCACCATTGATTGAGTTGATCCGCGTTATTCCTTTGCTGGTCTTTGTGGGTATATTCATAAAGACCCGAGAGAGTGAATACTTGGCAATTGGAGTACTAATTTTTTTCGGTATTTCACTGTTACTCGTGTTCATGGCACTGGTGCCAACTGGAGGCAAGGATGTTGGAAGACTGGAACGGCTTGCAAGGTAAGGGTCGGCCTCAACACCGAGATCGAGAACATTATTGACAACATGCACAGTCAGAAAATCAATAGGGCGTGTGCACTCACGTGACCAGCAGCCATGCAAATTTATTGGAACAAAAGAAAGTGTTTACATAAGAAAAGAGTTGAACTCCCACAGGATTGGTTTGCACACGTTCTAAAAACAAATGGGATATTCTAAAACGCAATTTCTGGAACAAACAAAGGAAATCGGCTTAATTTTTTCCAGATAAAATTAACAAATCTGGCATTAAATGCCCTTTTTGGCTATTTTTTTTGCCAGAGTGGTAAACATTTTGGCACAGCTTTGCATTAACTGCTTAAATTTTGCCACGAGAATTGAAAATGTTAGCTGATAAGAAATGGGTAAATAACTGAAAATTTTACCAGGACCGGAGCTTTGAAGACAGCTATGGTAAAAATGTCACGAAAAGTTAAGATTTTGGCCAAGATCTAGTTGCAAAAATCAGCTTAAAAGAGGAGTTTTCTGCAAGGAAGGCAACAAATATGGTAAAAAGTAAGCCTAAATGTTTATTTTTGGTAAAAAGGTTGTAAGAGGCAGCTTTCCCTTGGCATTAAAGAACGCGAATTTTGTTAATTTTGCCAGTTTTAAAAACGATTGGCAAATTTATCGGTAATTGAGGTAATCTCTGTCAATTTTCTTCTTCTACGAAACATCGTGTATCTTGCAACGAAACACATGGCAAGGTACATGGAAATTTCCATGAACCTTATGACTACACATAGCAAAACGTACATGGAAATTTCCGTGTACCTTGTGGTACACATAAACAAGCATTTTCCCATCTGATAATCAATTGCCCAAGTAAATCTTGGGAAATATAAAATCTAACTACAGCTTGAAAATTACTGAAAAATTAATAGTTTTAATTAACCAACAGAAAGTTACATCAATATAGAACAATAGTACTCTTCTCTGTTTAAACGAGACATGGACCTGGAAATTAAAGAAACAAAATACATCAACGCAGATGGTTATACATACACTTACTCTAGTTCTCTAGCTCTTGAGCGTTATTTTGGTTCAAGTAACATTTAATCTAAAGATCTATTCACCATCGAAATATTTCAGTTGCCATTTCCAAATGAGGTAAAGCCATTTCCTTCGAAAGGTTAAAAAGACTAGTTCTGTTGGAAAAAGTTCAAATTCGCTAACAAAGAAAAAAACGTCGAACTGGAAGATACCACTTCCCGGGTCCCACTTCCTTTGAACGACCTTTTGACCAGAGCTCAAGAAGCAGTATAGTCACCTTCGGAGCCGTTTGGGGCCGCGAAGGAGACTAGAAGCAGTACTAAAATATTATAGTTTTTTTTTTTTTTTTTCTGATCAACAGCGCAGTGATTACTTAAATCATATCGAGTCGTACTGTTAAAATGGCCAATACACGTAGCAGAAAGATTAATTAATATATTATGCTTTTCCACAATATTGACCGTTGAAGCTCTTTTAGGAGACCACACC